CGCTGCGGCGGCGGCCACGTAGCGCTGCGGCGGCGGCGGCCCCGGCCGGGGGGAAGGAGGAGGAGGAGGGGGGAGCTCGGGGGCCGCGGCGGCAGCGCCTGGGCCCGAGCGCCGGGCCCCGGCCCCCGAGGCGGCCGCTCGGAGCGCGGGGGCCGAGCGGGAGCGGAGCGGGGGAGGGAGCGAGGGAGGGAGGGCCCCCCGGCCGCCCTGCCCTCCGCCCTCCGCCGCGCCCGCGCCCCCTCCCCGCGGCCGCCCGGCATGGACGGCGGCGGGGGCGGCCCCGGGGGCACCGGCCTGGGTGAGTGCGGGCCGGGGGCGTGCGGGGCGTGCGGGGCGGGGAAGGCAGAGCTCGCAGCCGTTCCACCGTCCTGGCCGGGCCTGGCGGCGGGGCCGAGCCGCGCTAGGCCCGGCCTGGGGGTGGGCGGTGGAGGGACGGCGGGGCCCGGCTGGGAGGGGACGGGGGGCCGGGCAGGGCACCCCCGGCTCGGGGGACACGCGGGGGGACCCCCGTGCGGGAGGAGGGGCGGGGATGGCGCGGGGGCTCCTCCGATCGGGGGCTGCCCCGCGGTCCAGGCTCTGCCCCGGGCTCGGGGGCTGCCCCGGCACCGGCGCGATGCCCCGAGGGCCGCGGGGGTCTCTGCCCGTCCCCCGGCGCGGTGCCACCTGCCCGGGCAGGGCAGGGCGAGGGATCACGCTCCCGTTCCCGAAGGGTTTCCCGTGCCGGACCCTCTGCCCCCGCTGCTCCGGGGGTCCCGGGGGCACCGCCAGCCCTGTCCCCCCGCCGGCCTTTTGGGACGGGGGTTGTCGGTGAAGAGGCGAAGGGAACGAAACGTGTCACCTGGCGCGGCCGCGGGTTCGGATGGAAAATCAGGTGTCTTCTCTCATCCTCGGCCCTTTCCCTGGGGTGTTTCCCCCTTCCCTTCGCTCCCGGGACGGGCCGTGCTGCGCGTTCGCCCCGGGGGGCTCGATTTTTTTGGCCGCCTCCCGTGTGCAAACTGGGGGTGTCCCGGCGCGGGTGTTGGGAGAGACACCGGGCGAGGAGGAGGAGGAGGAACCGGGCATCTCCCTGGGCTCACCAGCGTTACATAAGTACCTTTAATCACAGCTGAGTTTTGGCACCTCGCGCGTGGAAGTGGCTTCGAGGCAGAGCCGTGGAAGGAGCGAGGGATGCGAGGAACGGGCGTTTTTGAGGAATGTGCGTTTTTGAGGAATGTGCGTTTTTGGGGCGCTCTCGGGGGCTGCCCCGGCCCGGGTTGTTGTGGCGATGGCAGCGGGGGCTCGGGAGGGGCCGGAGGGGATGTGCGAGCCCTGCTTTGGGCAGGACCGGGGGCAGGACCCGGGATCGTTCCCCTTTGCAGTTGTGTTCGCTGTCTCTGGTGTGTGGGAACAACGCGCCTTTTCCGGGGGGTGTTAAAGGGGCTGTGGAGTCGCAAAATGTCAATTTAAAAGGGGCTGGTGTTTGTGGTGTCTGATAATTTACTTTACTCTGCTGTTTGAAACCCCTTTATCTCTTCCTACCTGTGTGCAAGGTGCATTTCCCCCCCCCTGCTTTGTAGAGGTTAATCAGGCACTTGCAGTCTGGTGGTGCTGGATGAATGAAGAGCCCCATCCCTGCCCCTTAAATTCAGGTGTGATAATAAAGTTGTGATCCAAACTCGCCGTGGAAATGTGCAGTGGAGGGACAGAAATTTTGAGGGCTCTGCCAGAGGAGGGTGTGTTTGAAAGGAAAGTGCAAAATCATGAAGGCTTTTTATTTTTCTGACTAAGCAATTGCATTTAATAGGCTGCCAGAGAGTTAAGGTTTTATTTATAATTTTATCTGCTGTGTGGTGACTCGTATCTGTAGTTGCAGTAATTGAGGTTTGGGACCACCACTAAATGATCTGTGTCTTATATTGTGTATTTGTAAAAATGCCCTTCAAATACCTGTATGATCAAAAGGGACTTTGGCATTTTAAACTACTGTGAGTTTGTTTTAAAGGACTTAATTGACTATGTCACTGTTTCTTGTTTAGAAGTGATGCAGGAAGCCTTTCACTGATGGTTTCTGGAGAGTTAATTCTTCAGCAATTCTGGATGAAGGGTCAGGTGTCCACAGAGGGGCTAAATTATAAATTCTAAAAATAAATTATAAAAGTATTTTGTCAGGGGTTTTTGTAAGTGCAAACTATTGGGATGTTCTGATTTTATTCCCTCTGGCAGAACCTTGGAAGGTGGAAGTTTCAGGCTGAGAGGAGCAATTTCATCCAAAGGTTGGAAGTCTTTCTGTGTACAAGGAATTGCTGGTGGGTCAGAGCACCTGCAGTGTGAGATGTCCGTGCAGGAATGGCTTGGGAAAACTCCTCTGAGCTCCTCCAGCTGCATGAAACAGACCTTTTCAGTAAACAAGATGCCATCAGTGCCTGCTGGAGGAGGGATGTGCCAATCTCTGAGATAGGCACAGGTATATTTAAGGTGGTTACAAAACTCCCGTGTCATCACTGACCTATTTCTGTGTCACAAAATGTGCCTGATCGCAGAAGAAAGTTATTTCTGACCCCACCAAAAAAAAAAAGAGAGAGATATAATTGGAAGGAAGCACCAACCAATTAAGGAGATTGATATGTTCTCTGACCACCTGATTCCGTGGGTAATTATTGCATTAAAATATTTTCTGGCCATGGCCTGGGTTCAGTTCCTCCAGCACAGAACAGCTCAGTGTGTTCAGCTGAGATCAGTTCTCTCCCTGCAGGATCCAGCCCTTGGCTTCTAAATGGGAGGTGAAGGAAGCTTTAAAGAAGGTGATTTTACTTTTTCAAACAATTCTAGTTTACATTTTGCTAAATATGTGCTGCTTGTCTTTTCAGAATCTCATAATTCCAAAAATTGGTGGTTTTTTCCCCCCCAAAACTTAGGAAAAAATACAGATGCTGGGATATTCTGCTTTTATTCTCTTTGCTAGAATCTTGGAATGTAAAAATACAATTTTTTTATGCAGAGGGCATTTTATTCTCCTGAAATTGTGCCCTTTAAATATTAATGCAGCCCATGAGCAGATAGTGGTTCCAGTTGACTTCCCCCTGTTCTGTCTTGAGCTTCCTCCAGCCAAGAAGATTATTCCAGACAGTGTTTCCCAACAGGAATGTGGTGGTTTTAACCTGTCCTTTCTGTGCATCCAAGTTCCCAACTTCCAGCTGCTCCCACTGTAAATCCAAGGCCAACTTACCTTGGATTTGTGACTCCTGGAACCATCCAAATTGTCCTGGAATCATCCAAACTGCGGCAGAATTGAAGTAACCTGCTGATAGAAAGGGACACAAAGGCACTGCTTGTGTAGAAATGATGGGGTTTGTGCCTTCAAAGAACATTCTCCTGAAGAGATAATTCCTCCTTCAAGTTGCCAACTGTTCAAACACAGAAGGGAGTTCAGTCACGTCCCACCCTGGTGCTCTGCAGGACCCTCATTTTCAGGAGCAGAATTCCCTCCTCACCCAAATTCCAGCTGCCAAACCACCTGGATTTTTCCAAGCCATCTCAAACTGGAGATTGAATTTTTATTTTTTTTTCGGTTTTTAGGTGGCTCCTCCCTCCTGCCAAACAATTGCCCAGGGAGTGAAGCTCTGGCAGAGCCCCGGTGCCAGCAGCTCACACTCCTGAGCACGAGGAGCTTTCCCGGCCCTGTCCGACACCCTTCCCCCAGGAGGTTTCAGATGAGGAGGTTTCTCTCCAGAGGGACTGTTCAGCCCTGCTGAAAACAGCTGCCAGCACCTTCTGCTGGCCTGCTCTGCCCTCTGTGCGTGGAGCTTCGGGAGCTTGGATCCTCTTGGTGGGAAGGGGATTTTTGGTTTTAAGGAGTGTGGTGGGAAAGGCAGTGAGGATGTGCTGGGATGGGATCCCACTCAGTTTGAGGCAAAATCCAGTGCTTTGTTTTCCAGTTCAGCCTGCCCCAGGTAGTGAATATAAATACAAGTGAATAGAAGGTTTCCAGCTGGAATTTTGGAGGGATGTGGGATCGGAGAGCGGCCTGGATGGGAAGGGACCATAAAGCTTTTCCATGGGACACCTTCCACTATCCCAGGCTGCTCCAATCCAACCTGACCTTGAGCACTTCCAGGGATTCCAGGGCATCCCTCCCCTCCCAAGGAGCAATGTTCGTGGTCCCACTGCAGAGATCCAGTGGGAATAAGTAGAAATTAAAGTCTGATTGCTCCCAGTGCCCCGTGTCCTGGGAGCCAGCTGTGTCCCTGGAGCATTTGGGGACGTTTGCTGACCAGGAGGATTCAGTTTTCTGATCAAGGCAGGTGTTTTCTGTCACACAGGTTTTAAAGGAGCAGCTCTCCTTGCTTGTATTTGTGTGGGTTTTCTGCTTCCATCCATCCCAACAACTTTCTGCAGTGATGGGAGCTTTTTAATTCCAGCAGTTTCCCTTTTTTTCTCAGGTTAGCAGATTGGAGGTGTTGCTCACACAGGGCCACAATTCCTCACTGGTTTTGGTGCTTTCTCCCTGTGGTAAATTCTCCACACTCCCCGTGAAGTGACACTGACTGTGCTCGGCTTTCCCTTGTTTGAACTTCGTGTCACTTGGAGGGATTTATGGGGGTGCTCATGTCACTGTGACATTCTGAAAATATTGTCACTGTGACATTCTGAAAATACTGATTATTTCAGGAAGCAACACCTTGTACTGGTCAGATGAAGCTGCACGTTGAGCTGGTCCAGAGAACTGATCCAGAGGCTGGAAATTCATCCCAGGGAATGGTTCTTTTCCAAGCAGACCCATTTCCCAAGGCATCTCACCTTGCCACCAGAAGAATGCCAGTGTTGGCATATAAATAGGGAAGGAATGCCTTGCCTCCTTTTGGCAGCCAAACCCACTTAGATCAGATTAAAACAAACAAGTAACTTTGGCTTTAACTGGTAGTTGTCCCCAGGAGGAAATTTAAATACAAAGTGGGATAAGGTGTCCATGGCTCCATAAGGAATTAATAGGGGGGGAGGAAGGGGAATAAAATAAATAAGAATAAACTAAGTAAAATCCTATTTTCCCAGTGTATTGGTGGGAAGAGGATTCATGCTGGAGGAGGTGAAGCCTGGGCAGGTTGGTTTTGGTCGCTCATGGACCTGCCAGAGAGTTTTGTGTCCCCATGTCCAGCTTCAGGGAGAGCAGGAATGTGGTTCCTACTCTCAGAGGTCAGGCGTGTGCAGGAGAGGAGTTTTGTTGAGGGATCGTCCCCTGGCTGGCTGATAAACATGTGTGTGTGGTGTTCCACGGGCCGGGCTAAATTATGTCAATATTTGAAAGCCAGGCCGGCTGTTTTC